TTAGCCAAGCTAAAATAGCCAAATAGCCAAATAGCCAAAAAGCTAACTAAAATAGCCAAGTTCCCAAACGGGGCCTTATACTAGAGGACATAGAAAAATGACTCTTGCTCTGAAAAAATCACATTGATATGCTTATGAAGCTGGTGTACCCTAGAAAGACAACATCAGTATTAAGTCCATAATCTGGTGGTGATTGTAATATGGTTGAGTCACAATTGATGTTCAAAATATTTGGGAAGTAAAAGAAGAAAACTTTTCAAAGATGGATATGCACAAAGAATGTACAATTACTTTATAAAGAATCAATCAAAGAACGTAGACTTCATTTACACAGTTCAAGTAGATGAAAATTATTGCATGGGAAATTGTTTTTGGACCGATGCAAGGTCAATGTTAGTTTACTAAGACTTCGGGGATGTAGCCTCATTTGATGCTACATACTTAGCTAATCACTCTGGGGATTTTTCTATAGTACATACCATGTATGGTACATACCAAATGGACGGCTAAGATTACGCCACCTCATTTTATTTTTTTACGATTATGAGTCAACACCAAATTTATTCATAACTAGAACCAATTTTATCATAACTCAGTTACGACTAATACCACATATCTAATCATTAACCACATATCTTAACACCTTTTTGTCATGACCAATACCACATATCTCATAACCACTAACACATATACCATAACCAAACATCCTTTGGCACCACTTTACTCATAATCATTACCCACATATCTCATAACCACTAACACATATAGCATAACCAAATACCCTTTGACACCACTTTGCTCGTAACCATTAGCCACATATCTCATAACCACTAACACATATAGCATAATCAAACACCATTTGACACCACTTTGCTCATAACCATTACCCACATATCTCATAACCACTAACACATATAGCATAACCAAACACCCTTTGACACCACTTTAGTCATAACCATTACCCACATATCTCATAACCAACATCACATATATCATAACTACTAATCACATATCTCATAACCAAACACCCTTTGACTTATAACTATACCACTCTGCTCATAACCAAAATCACATATCTCGTAATCACTAATCATATATCTCATTACCTTTACCCACATATATTATAACCACATCTCATAACTAGCACCCTTTGTTTCATAATCAATATCACATATATCATAACTACTAATCATATATCTCAGAACCACTACCCACATATAGGGGTATAAATTTAGCCCATGAGCTCGCAGCACACCCCAAGTCCGCTCGTGCCCTGGGTAGGCCTAACTAGGCTTAAGTCTAAACCCAACCTAAGACCCTGAGCTATGTGTTCTAGAGCCCGACCCGACCCTGGTGTGTTATGGAGTGTGACCCATCCCGTGAGATCGCCCCGAAATTTTCTTTCCCATATAGCTCGACCTGACCCCAATGGCTCCTTGCCCCCATTGTCAGTGCAATGGTCAAAAATTTAAATCAAAACAATTTGAAAGAGTCATATAACCATTAATTCCACCAACAATCAATTTTATTTTTTTTTTATTTTTATATATATAAATTAACTCCTCCCTCCCAAGTCCTATGAATACCACCCCTCTCACATTTTATTTCTCACAACAAATTTGTCTCTCAAACTCTCATTCTCTCTAAACTTTCATACATATACAAATCTTTGGCTGTACTTATGATTTTATCAATTTGTACATATCTTATAGAACTGTTGAAAATGAATATTATGATTTTGTTGTACTGTTTTGCTATCTCAGCTCTCTTCATCTATCAAACATCTCTCTCATTCCTTACTGTCACTGTAGATATCTCCGATGTTCCTTATCGGAAACAACACCATCTTTGACATTATTTTCACAGACGACAAGTCCGTTCAGTCTCTCTTACTCATATTCCCTTTCCTTTCGCTCTATTGGTTAATTTTCTCTAACTCTCATTTTCTGTTCCATGGCTATAAGTCGTGGATTAAATTATTTGATTATTGTCATTACATTCTGTGTTTATCTGTATCATTAGAGATCCCGATTGGTGATTAAATTATTTAAAAAATTTAGATGTTTTTGTTACACCAATTAGTGGATAGTTACATAATTTTTGGTTAATGTTATGAAATTTTGGAAATTAGTTACGACATTTGTGATTTTCTAGAATTTTAAACAATTTCGTTACGCCAATTAGTGATGCAGTTATGCATTTTCTATTTTATATCACAAAACTTTGTGACTTGATTACAATATTATGGTCTGTTTGGTAACTATTCCGTTTTTAGTTTTCAGTTTATATTTATAAAAATTTTAAAAACTGTCATAAAAATGTCACCTTTCTTTATCCTTTTCATTGCTGTAAAAGGCCAAGACCCTAGATTGAGAAGGGTGTACCAACTAAACTCTTCAAGATGAAAAAAATAAAATTCTCGAATCATAGAACATCGATGATAAAAGTAAACAAGAGGTCGACAATAACAAGGCATGCTGCCAATTAGTTCCAATTGACGTTTTGGTGGCAAATGCTACTGTGCAAAGAATTGCCAGAGCTAAAATGATGGTTTGGCCATTTTCAAGAGAATATTTTATGGGAAAAGACGATTGAATAATGGCATTCAATTTTCTATATGCACTTGCTGTTGCGCATTTGAATGCACAAGCATTTTGTGAATATGTAACAGACATTGCCGTACAACGTGTAAAAGAAATGGCTACTTACCAAACAATGCATCACCCTTCTCAACATGATCAAATTCGGAAAGGGGCAGCAATATAGAGTGTAGTTTCACTCTTCCTCCGCGTTTGTTCTAATTTTAATCAAAAGAAGTAACAGTGTTATACAAGTAATTAGAATTTTTTTTAGATGATTTGAACATAAAGGAAAAATGAGAAGGAAACACATGATATTAGACAAACACCTGGTATTTCATGAACTTTTCAGCGTGTTCCCTTTCTTCTTTAATTTGTTGACACTTAATTTGTTCGTTCTTGAAGGAATATACATCATCAGTAGAGTGGCATGCGATGCAGGATCATACTTGCAATCCTGGCTCTTGACAAGCCTCTGCAAATTTAGCTGCTGAAAGAGCTGCATTTCTTTTCATATCAGCTTCCTTGCGCTCTAGTTCAACCAGTTGCTGTTAAGTCCTTTGGACCTGATTTTTCTGATATGGTCTTCAAATATGAAATACAATTGATCAATAATATAAGCTGCACTAACATCAAGCAAATATTATTATTTAGCATTAACCAAGTAGGAATATTATTATTCTTGACCTGCTCTAATTTTCCAAAGAAAACAGTAAGTAAATTTCCAGATCTGAAATCCCAGATAATTAGGACAAGAAATAGAAATTAGAGTTAACCATCAAAGCTTGATCAATATAAACCATCTTCACAACAGGACTGCTAGTTAGTTAACTATACCTACATACAAGACAGAATACAACATAACACTGATCCGAACCAAGACGATGATGCACTTCTTGTTATCGATCACCAAACGAAAGGTTTGGAGATATATAAGCAATTAATGGATGAATCAAGTGATCACCAACAAGCATAGGCTGTTACACCCACACAATGTGGGTGGTTTGCTGAATGGTATAGTCGACTTGCTTCATTGAGTGAGGATTCATGAGATGGTCTTCAGTTTTGTCTTCTTCTGTTTTACGAAGAAAGATGACAGCAGACTCTTGCTGCGGACAGGTACGCGAATAATCTGAAGCCGGTTTGGGTTGTCAAATGACTTGAAAGCTGTCAAAGGTTTTGAGACCTCCTGCAAAGTACAATCACTCTCATAAGAACTTTTTGGCATTTCTCTCAACCACAGGGCAAGATATTTTACAACATAAGCAAGCATAAGGTATGGAGCTTCTCTCCTACCACCCATGAGTGGTCCAGCAAAAACATCTCCATACCAAAAGATTTTTAAGTCATCAGATCATCTAATCAAATTCATATTTGAATACATACAGTAAAACCAAGTCTCGTATCCCATTCAATGGAAGAAACTACGCATGAATTATTTTTTTCCGTTGGCACAGTTAATGAGTTGTGTCTAATTGTTGTTTCTATAAAAATTTTCTTTTTAATTTTGTTGATATCTATCAACCACATAATATGTTAGAAGCACAACTCTGCTCAAGTCAACTTACTTCGATTGTTCACATAATCTCCAATTACTAAAATTACATTTAATATATTCAGTTTTATTCCTACTTATTTTAAACTCTTTTGGACTTGATTGCTCTCCAAGTTTGTAATTTGGTTTTTTAGTTTCATCTACTAACTACTAAGGACAATATCATCTGCATAGACAATGGGACATAAATTCTGCTGCAGAGTCAGAATATTAAACAAATCATGATTCACGCCATCCCGGTTGACCCAAAATCTGCACCTTTTTCCATGACTAAAATAAGAAATAATTCTAAGTATTAAAAACTGATGGGGTTTCCAATCCCATTTCAGAAACAAAAACAAGAGAAGTAAAAGGTAAAAATAATAAACAGACATCTCATACCTCTGCACAACCAAATAAAATTATTTCTAGTTATTCTTTGCAAAATACACACATCAAGATTCATCGCTAATGTTCATAACTATGTTCCAAAGACAAACATCCAAAACTAGAACTCAAGTCTCCATGGCTTTAACCATTGTGGTTACCACAAAATGCAGAAAACAGTCACCCTATCATCTATCTCTAATCAATTATGAGGGCAACTGAAAAGTACAAGGTCTGGGCAGATTTGATTATGTGATTGTAGATTAACAACTATCATAAACTTTTGTGCTCTCTTGCAAATATTAGCAAAAGTTTCATAAGAAATGATCGGCAAAAAGTGATGGCAGATTGTGCCAAAACACTTCATAATAAGTTATCATCAAGAGAAAGAAACAATACCAAGGTCAACATGTTTAAAAGGGCTCCCACTTGCAAAAACTATATGTTCTCTAGCATGCTTGAAAACATCAACAGCAGTGCATTCAGCTGCACCAAAGTATATGCAAATACTATGTTCAATAGAGAAATTGGGAGCTCTATAAGTAAAATATGGTTAATTTAGAGGTCTTGTAAAGACAAACCATTCAATGTTGGATTTGACATAGCAAAAATGGCAGGTTTAGTAGAATCCAACTCTCGCATGGCCTTGAGCACCTGATTTACATGCAAGCAATATAAGTAAGGAATATGAAAATGTAAGAAGACACACATCTAACGAGCTCAAAAATTGACTCTCAAGTATCCATTACACAGAGAAAAGGGGACAACACTCACCTTTATTGTGCTTAGTTAGGGTCTTACAGTTAAACAAAAATACACAGCCAAAGTTGAGTATAAGAGGATGAGGAAATTAAGCATGTGAGGGTTAGTAGGAAAGGGCATAATGGCCATGGATTTGACTGAGGTTATTGCTCTTCAGAAATCTTTCTAGAAAAGGATTCATTAAGTCAAACTAACAAGTAAAATTGGTGCATTGTTGTGTTGAGCTAAGTGGAGTGAACTATGATAGTGATGATAACAAATGACATTTAGTTATCTTGATGAGGTATGCTTTTATATCCTAATAATAAATAGATGAATCGGAGTATGTAGTAGAAGTTGGGTAAGTAAAATGATAACTTTGATAGGATAAACAAAAACCATCTCTAAAAGTATTGCCAACATTTAGCAAGTGAGAACAAAAAGTCGCATAGCAAAATGTATTCCAAAAATACAAAAATCATTGCTCTGTGGAACATAATATCACAGAAAGCCAAGACTCATATCTCCAACTATATAGTTGAGGCCTAGTTTAAATTTCAAATTTCAAATTTTGTAA